ACACTTGGAGATTCAATTTTTAAAATGCTCTCAAATCTACAGATATAAGACTCTTAAGATATATTATAAATTTAAGAACAACAACAACAACAAGTCTTTAACCCACTAACTAGGGCGGCTATAAGAATCTTTTTTCTCCATTATGTCCTATTGTCATATTTTTCATATAATTCTTGTAAATTAAGATCATTTTTTACACAACATGCCCAAGTCCTTTTAGGTCTACCTCTACCTTTCTTAATATAAGAAAAATCTAAAACATCTACTCTCCTGACTGGATCATCAAATGATCAATGTTTATTGTGACCGAACCATATAAGATGACTTTCTCTAATTTTGTGTACCGACGGAGCTACACCAACCCCTTCACGGATATATTCAATTTTAATTAAGACTTAAGTTGACCTCCTTAATTTAAATTTTTCATGAACTATTTCCCTAGTCTTATCCACAAGAAAGATATCATCGCCGAAAAGCATAAATTGGCGTACATCCTCCTATAAATGTCCAATAAGAACATCCTAACTAAAGCAAAAATATATGAACATAAAATTGATCATTGGTGTAATCCAATTAAAATAGGAAAATACTTCGTCAATCCTCCTTCTGTTCGACCACACAAGTAATAGCTATAGATGCATAAGTTTAATGTCTTGAATAAAAGTTGTATCAGCACATTTCTTTTCAAGAACTCCCAAATAACTTCTTTTGGAATCTTAACATAAGCTTTACTAAATCAACAAAAATCATCTGTAAATCCTACTTACTCTCTCTGTACTTCTTCATCAAACTCTATATAAATGAATAGCTTCCATAGTAGACCTGCTCGACATAAACACAAACTACTTTTGAGAAAATATTTGTATCATGTTTCAAAAAGTTGACCGACACATGTCTTAAAATATGTTCAATTACTCCTCCCATAATTTTAGGGTCTCTTTGGGATCAGTTTCTGTTTTTATTTTTATTTTTTTTAGACTTTTTTTTTGGTTTTTTGTTTTGTTTCTAAAAAAACATGTTTGGTGCTGTTATAATTTATATGTTTTTAAAAATAAAAAATATAAAGCATTTTTGGTAGGGTTTTTTTTAAAAAAAAAAATTATATTTTTTACAAAACGGTTAGGTCCACGTACACTCCAGTATTAAGCTTTGCTGCTCAAAGCATATATGACATTTTTCTTGCTCCACCCAAAATGAAGCATTACCCATGGGCAGATGGACGAGCGACGGCAGGGGGTGGCTAAAATTTGCTGGCAGGGGTCGGCGACGGGTGTTGGCTGGAGGCAAGTGGACTAGCGGCAACGGTGGGTTGCTGCCATCTACTAGCGAGAGCAAGCGACAGGCGTTAGTTGGTTGGGGTTGGGGGGGGCGGGGGCTGCGAGATTCGTTATTTTCGGTGTTTTAAAAATAGACAAAAACATATTTTCGTTTTGAGTATTTTAAAAATAGAATTATTCCTCAAAAAAATAAACAATAAGATAAAGCAAAAAACATATAAGCAAACACTTTTTTTTTTCTTTTCAAAAATAAAAAAAAATAATCCCAAGCAACCCCTTAATGTGTGACACATTAATTTAATTCATCTATAAAGATATATTATAAATCTAAGAACATTCAAAAGAAATTTTACTAAATCTAAAGCAAAGATAAAAATTCATCCACCCTCCACAACATTTTGTTGAATGCAATAAATTTAAGAACAAGCTAAACTCATAAAGAGTCTTATATGAAACATGTTGCTACAATCACACTCAAAATATCGCATGTCAGGAAGGATGTAACTTGTCCTCTCAATCCACATGATTTTACTATAATACCACAAAAAAGTAATGGTTATGAAAAGAGCTCTATGATAGAATAATTTACTACAAAATGACACTATTATATTATAATCACGACCAAAACCAATGCTCATTAATGGCTCAGCCCCCTTGAGTTGTGAATTATATATTTCATTTACTAGACACAAAACCCTTCAAGGCCGACATAAGATATGCTCTTATACATACATTTACCTCATGTTTACAAGATCATCATGAATGATGCAACTCATGACTATTGAAAAGAATCCTTTTATTAAATTAAGTTGACTATTTCAGTTGATTAAGCAAAGGAAAGTCCAAGACAATCTGAAACAATTTAATTATGGAATTTTGATTGAGTTCATAATCATTTCAATTAATCACTTTAAGGACCTATTTGGAATCACTTTCAATTTTTTTTAGTTTATTTTGTTCTTTTTTTCTATTTACTATTTTTAGAAAACGTGTTTAGTGTTGTTATGATTTATATGTTTCTAAAAGTAAAAATATAAAACATGTTTGGTTGAGTATTTTTTATTTCTTTAATGAAAACTATATTTTTTTATAAAATGGTTGGGTCCACGTGACATTCTAGTATTAAGTTCTGCCGTCAATTACGCATATGATGTCTTCTTTGTTCTACCCAACACAAATCATTACCTGTGTCGGTAGTGTCAAACGGAGGGCAGGGGCAGACGGAAGGTGGCTGCAACGGCGGGTAGAGGCGACGGCAGGAAAAGACCAGGCACGCGGATGGCGGCGAGCGGTGGAGGCAAACGGCTGTCGGAGTAGGGGAGGGGGTAAGCGTTTATCGACTATGAGTGGCAGCTGGCGGAGGAGGCCGACAACTACGAAGGGTGGAGACAAGTGAATGGCAGCAGCGACGGCGTGTTGTGGCGGGTGACTTCCAGCAGAGGTCGGCGAGTAGCCGTGGCCGGCAGGCGGCGGCGGCCGGCGGGGGGTAGCTGCCAGCGAAGGTCGGTAATTGGTGACTGCTAGCGGGCGACGGGCATTTTTTGAAATCTTATTTATAGTATGTGTTTAGAGACGGGCTTGTTTAATGTGTTTTAAAAATAGTAAAAACATGCTTTATCTGTTTTGAATATTTTAAAAATAGATATGATATTTAAAAAAAAAACAGTTAAACAAACATTTTTTTCTGTTTGTTTCCTGTTTTTTATTTTCAAAAATAAAAAAAATAAAAATTGATCTCAAACAGCCCCTAAACAAATGGTGGTAATTTTTTTAATTTGAAATTAATTATTATTACTTACGCTATGTACTTGGCACCTTAACTACAACTGAAATTTCTCTCTTGCCATAAGGAGGGATAATTATCTATAGGAGCTTATGACTATGAGAAACCTAGAATCAGACCATCAAGACCTTAAAAATGAGAACAAAATCTATAGATTGTCTTATTTGCAATATAAACTGCCTTATAAAAATTTGACTCAAACTAGCACAAAAAAACTCTCTCAAAAAAGGACAAGGCATAAATTTTTTGAGCTCATAAAGATATTGATATTTTTTTTGGCTTGAATTAGTGAGAAGGTTGGCCTTGGAATGATTTGGGAAAGGCTAAAAAAATTATGACTTTGGATGGAGTGTGTAAGAAGTTTTTAACATTTACTACACATTTTAAATCCCTTGAGTACTGAACTATAGAGCCCACTTGATAGGATATAAAACTATTTGTTAGCTAAAGTTCGCCTAGAAAGAAATTCATACAAGTCAACAAGATCTCTTAGACAATGTAACACATGTCTCTTGACAAGGATCCCACAGTTAGGATGGGTCAACTACCTCTCATGAGTAAACAAACTAGAATTCATGACAACCTGATATGATGTAATCATGATATCTTGATCGAGTTCAAAATCACTTCCCCCACCATCCAATTTAAGCTAAAGGTGGTAGATTTTTACCCTAAATCAAAAAAAAAAAAATTACTACTATAGCACATTGTAGTTACTAACTAGTCTTAATCAAAAGTTCTCTCTTAAGATCGAGTGGGGTAATTAAATATAGTTATAAAAAATATGATATAATGTCATAAGTCCCTAGAAAATGATCGTGCAACATTAGGGTAATTACTTATGAAAAATTTAATCTACATTTTAAAATATTGACCCGGAAAAAAACATTTTTGAAGCTCTTAATCATATATCATGGATAGTGACAACATGATTATTTACCTTATCATTTTCTTAGGTTTAGCTTCCTTGTGAGTTCATACCACAAGACCTCTTAATCTCCCTTTTAGAGTGTGCTAGCACCATCACAGTGTCAAAAACTACCATTCTGTAAGAGTGTTTCCAGTTGTGCCCATCAACCCACCAAAATATGGTTCATGACATGTTTTACAAGGTTAGCATCATCTTTATACAGTCCCGTAAGATTTTCTGGTTATATAATTCATGCATCCAATGACAAGTCATCTTCTATGAAATTAAAATGATAGATTGGAGTTCATTGAGATGATTACATGATCTGGAGGTACAAAGAAATCTAAAGTTAACCTTTCTTGGAGAGTCAAACTCCTTTAAATATAAAGGTAACGTGAAGAAAGTTGTTGTTGCTCTTCAATGGCAGCTCAGATGTGACAAGTCCCCTTAAATATGGTGCATCTTAACGCAATGCTTTCCAAACCATTTTTGACACCAAGCAATTACCTTCCTCGTGTTTGTCTTCCAAGGTAGCTTGCTTTATCAATGCTCCTAACAGACTCTAGTTAATGTGTTATTTAATAGTAGGGACAAAAGCCATAAAAAAAGTAAGAGTTGGTGGGTTGCCAAGACAACTATGCTGGCAAGCAGGCTGATTTAGCACCCCAGTTTTTGTCATTTAGGTAAGTTGGTTGCTGAAGATCTTCTGTAATTTTTTTTTCCCTTCAGTAAGCTTAAGTTCTATCTAAGAATAACGACAAGAAAGAAAATAGCATGTTTCCTTCTCTTGACATGAGTACAAGTAGGAAAAATTAATTTAAGGTGGACATGGATATCAATATTGCAGTAACAAAAGTCCTGACAGCAATTTTTTAAGGAATAGCCGGTCAAAAAAAAAAAATTGGAAAAAAATTTTGGAAAAAAATTTAGGAGCCTTAAAATTTAGGAGCCTTGCAACATAAAGTATATGACGCATCTAATAAGAAGTTAGCTTTATATTAAAATGTTGCTAAGTGATGAGATCTCAGACCTTCTCGAAGGATTCAAGTTTCTCTTTTAGTTCACCCAGCTCATTCTTTAAAGCAAAATGACATTCCTTCTCACTGCAATATGCTGATTCAAGCTCCTCTACTCTGTCAATGTGTACAAATTTTTGAAATCAATCGGAATTATAATATTCCTTTCATGCATATATTTTGTTCCATTTATTATAATTTCTCTATTTGATCACAGTGAAAAGCATCACCATTGTGTCTGATTGTATTAGAAGTTGATATATGATAGTTCATAATTATTGTTTAACAATAATCTCTTTGTTCCCTTAGTGCATGCTATTTGCTCCGTCTAATATATTTCTTCAATCAGTCAATAGCAAAACATCATCAATTACTTCTCAAGGAACTCAACCAGGTCTTTTACAAAATGTGAGACTATAATAACCCCTCTAAATACTCCGGAACCATTTTGATCCTTTGAACAACAATACCTTTCCTCGGAAATTCTTAATTTCTCTGACATAGCTTCCACCAAATCCTTGGCCTTCAAAGACTGAAAAGTTGAAATAAATTACAATGCAAATAAAAAGCAGAACAGTCTGACTGTTTTCATAAAATTAGATGACAATAAAATAAGATTTATAACCTCCATTAAGGAGTGGTCGCGTTCTGAAAATGCAGCAGCAACGCAGCCCTGGAAGAACTTCAGCTGGTCTTCCGCTTCCTTATTCTACAAGATATCGGACAGCTAAAACCTGGGTAACTATATTAACAAATGATGCCAGGTAGCGAAATTACAAAACACCAGGAAAATTATATAAAACTCAAGAAAAAACAGATCAAACAATAAATACTCGAATTTTTGAGTTGAATACTCAAGACATTGAAGTATCCAATCCTCAAGGAGGCCTAAATAAGTGCTGCAAGAAGTCTTCGTAACTAAAATAATCTCAAAGCCAATGATGAAGCTTCATTCACGAGTTCATGTTTGTAAGAAAATTAAACCTAAATTAAAAATGAAATCATTGTTTGTTCGTAGTGCATTTTAAACTAATTTAAAATTGAAAACAATAACGAAATTCGGTCATAAATCATAAAGGACCCATAAGAGTTTGAAAATGAGTTTGGTTTAGCCATTGTTTTAAACTCTACAGTTTTGGTCAATAAGAATTGTTTCTACCTAAAAAAAAAACTGATGTTGTTGCATCCTTCCTCCTAGGTCGGGAAGAACCATGTTTTGAAGGGTAAAAATGGTTTGATTTCTCTAGAAGGTCAAAGGATCGATAAAGCATGAATTGGAGGAACAATGAAAACTTTTGAAAGAAAATGATCTCCATGTTGTCAAAATATATGCAACATTTCAGATTTGACAAACAGAAGCACCAATAGAAGTAATAAACGCGCAGATTAACTTTCAAACTCCAACTATAGAAGCAACAAGTTTTAACGGCCTAATGACAGTCCCCATTCATATATAAGAGTTGCATCATCGAAAGGATAACAAATACTAACGATAAAAGAAAGCACACACGAACACATTTGATCGTTTCTGACTATAACTAAAATAAGGCCTTTTTGATTCTCGTAGATAAAACCAAATATATGGAACCTAGATCTCATACCGGAGTAAACCCAAACTACAATAGAAAAAATAAATATTATTACTGAAATTAAATACACGGTAACGACCATGCACACTTGAAAGGGAAATTAATACCAACATGATACAGACTCCCACTGAGGCTCGGTCTCTAAGTGGTGGAGATCGGCTAGGTGGTCGGGAAGCGGAAGTAGGTGGCTAAAATGAGTTGTGGTGATTGGGACAACAAAAGAAGGGTTTGGAATTGTGTTGGCAACGAAGCAGGGGGTTGGGACAACGAGGAGCAGCTAAGTAGAAGGGTTGTGGACTGCGGGGCGGCAGAGGATTGTTGTCCGGTGCGGGAGTAGCAGTAAGATAGGCTGCAAGTCAAGCGGCAACAAATCGGAATGATGGGTAGAGAATGGAAAAACTACATACTTGATGTTTTCTAGATGGCAGCAGCGAGGGTCGGTGACTGCGAGTAATGAGGGAAGGTTAGGAAAGGATGGAGGTGGTTGTGTGGGATGACAATGAGACGGGAAAGGGAGGTTGCAAAGCAGGAACAGGATAAAATAGCCAAAAAAAAGTTGTTTTGGGCGGTTGCAGCATGGGAGGGGCGGTTGGGAGCGGTGTAACAGGATGCGAAAGGGGATAGGGGAAGATGATTATCACCTAGAGAGAGAGACACAACCGAAACACCATCTTATCCCTTGGATAAAGTCCTCGAAGGGAAAAAAAAAAGAGCGCCGGATGATGTCCAAACCAAACTCTTGCCAAAAACTTTCTTCTAAACTCTAATACAACACATACATAGAAAAAGACTATAAATGAATGAAAGAAAAGGAGAAAACTAGCTAAAATTAGAAAGGAAGCCAAAAAAGGGACGCTCAATTCGGCCTTCACGCGACCACAAGAGCCGCGGTTTACTCCCACGTCTTGCTAGTGAGTGGGAGACGCTCTCGTCAGTCTCCATGGTTTGGGGAGCTTCAATTTCATCCATTGATACTTCTCTCTCCTCATAGTATGGATTCAGATCAAGCATGTTGCAAGTAGTATTATTGTTGAAATTCAGAATAATGCAGAATAAAGCGCAATATATTCATTGATACAAAATGGGGTATAAATATCCCTTACATGAATCCTAGAATAGAAAAGATAATAAGAAGGAAATAAAATGAAATGAAAGATATATGACATAAAATCTCTAATTAATCAATTCATATTAATTATTTTAGAGATAAAGAAAACAATATAAAATAAGAAAGCCTAAAATAGAAAAACGAATAAATTTAATACAAGGAAAAAAACCTAAAATAAGAAAGAAAATAAAATTATATTAGGAAATAAATCTAATCATCATAATTTTCAATAAGAATAAATTATTTTTTAATATAACTTTTAACACTTCCTCTAAAATTAAAACATAGTTGAAACTCCTGTTCAACTTGGATTTGAAAACACCAAACAAAGAACAAGGGAGATCTCATGAAGTAGAACTTAAATTCTCCCTCCTATACTACAATTATCTTTGACTGCAATTCCTGCAGTGTCTGTAGGTGGGCAGAAGGCTTTTACAGGCAATGCTACAGAAGAGTTTGCAGGAAAGTAGACAGCCTGTATTTGTCTTTAACTGCAGTTCCTGCAGTGTCTGTAGGCAAGCGAAAGGCTCCAACAGGGAAATTCGCAGGGAAGCAGACAAATTAAAGGAAAAACTTATTTTTAATTAATTGTGATTGTCTTTGAATGCAGTTCTTGCAGTGACTGTAGGTAAACGGAAGGCTTCTTTAGGACATAATGCATGAGAGTTTGAAGAGAAGTAGACAATCTACAAGATATAACCTGCAATGAAAAAGGGAAAAAAGAAAAAAAAGAAAGATCCGGTGGAGGTCGCAGAAAAGGCTTCGGAGGAGGTGTTGTTGCATAAAAGATTTCAAAGAAGGGTCTACTGCAAGAAAGGCTACAGACGAAGGTCTGCTACAGGAAAAAGCTCTGGTAGGCCTAATACAGAAAATAGCTCCGAATGAAGGCCTGTTGTAGGAAATTCTCTGAAGTGATTGTTGCAGGAAAAAGTCCACAAGAGTGCCTGCTGCAGAAAAAATTTCGGTGAAGAACCGTTACAAAAAAAAGGACTTGCATGGACTTTGTGGGCAGTAGGGAAGAAAATAAGGACCCTCACCAACATACCAATGCACAAAGGCACACTTCGAATAAATAAGCTCAAACTTATGATCAATGCGAGAGATCACCTATGCAATCTTAGTGGAGTTAGATATCATGCAAACTGCCCTCTACACCTTGGTATGGTCACCACCAGGAACAACAGGAGGCTAGAAATTAATGCCACACTTAAAGCCAGTCAGGTACCAGTCAACAGCCTAGATGGTGCGCTTGGTCTTGATGATGGTAACAGCGACACTCACATCCTTGGGCACCACATCTCCTCGATACATGAGACAATAAGCTGTCAATCAGGAAGAACGAAAATCATGCAGCTGAATTAGGAGTTTTTTTTAATTAGGAGTTTTCCTATTTAAATTATTTCTAATGTCTTTATTAAGATTTATTTCTCATTTAGCTGAAAAATTAGATTAGAAATATATATTATTAAGTTATTTAAAAAATATTATGCAATTTATTTTGTACCTAAAATAGATTGTAAGATTATTATTTAATGAAATGAAAGCAAAGAGAAAAGGCATCGAGCCTATTCAGATTTCAGCATATTTTCCTAAAAACTTTGACATAGTATCAGAGCCAAATGTTTGACCTAACCACCGGTAGTCTTTGGAGGACCGTCGAGACTCCCTTTCCGCTGACCTTTTTTGCGGGAAGGTAGGAACTATTTCTTTGCCTTTGATTTGCCCATCTAAGGATTTTCGTCCGCTGTGACAACTTCGTCCTCCTTCGATTTGCCTTCTTTTATCTCTCGCTTCTGGTTTTGTCTCCCGCGTTTGATTCCAGGTGCACTCTGTGATCCTATCCATTAACATTTGTTGTCTTGTCTGTAATCTGGCAATCAATTATCTCAACTGCGATTCAAGTTTCATCCGCAATCTGCGATCTTGTTCACTTTGTTCTCTTCGTCCGCTTCGGATCTCCTTCGCTAGCCATCATTACTTCTGTGGCATCTTCAAGTCTCATCCGCTTCGAATCTCCTTCAAATGTCAAATATTAGGTTTCGGCATTCACGACTTCGGCACTCTAGGACTTCGGCACTCTCGACTTCGGCACTCACTGCTTAAAGATTTTTTGTCCCGACAATGTTATCAGTTCCTTATTGGTAAATTGACGTTTCTTGATCAGTCAGCATCAATTTGAGGGGGTGTTAATCAGAAAGGACGGAAATCAGGTAGCTAAATTAGAAGTTTTCTATAGCTTCGACACTCTCGGGCTTCGGCACTCTCGACTTCTACACTCACTACTTAAGGATTTTTGTCCCGACAATGTTATCAGTTCCTTATTGGTAAATTGATGTTTCTTGATCAGTCAGCATCAATTTGAGGGGGTGTTAATCAGAAAGGACGGAAATCAGGTAGCTAAATTAGAAGTTTTCTATAATTAGGAGCTTCCTTATTTAAATTATTTCTAATGTCTTTATTATGATTTATTTTCCTTTTAGCTGAATATTTAGATCAGAAATATATATTATTAAGTTACCTAAAATAGATTATGCACTTTATTATGTATCTAAAATAGATTGTAAGATTATTATTTAATTGAATGAAAGCAAAGGGAAAAGGCATCGAGCCTATTCATAGTTCAGCGTTTTTTCCTCGAAACTTTGACATAAGCCATGTACTTGCCATGGAGGGGATCATACTTGGCCATCATGGAGAATGGCTGAAAGGCACAGTTGGTGATTTCAGCAACAGAGAGTTGCCTATGATACTTTCTCATCTGAGATAACAGAAGCACAGGATGAAATCATGAAGCGGATCTGCTGATATGGAACAAGGTTAGTTTGGAGCGAATCTGCTGGCATGGAACAAGGTTAGTCTGGAGCTCAGTCACATCCACGTTCAGTGCGCCGTCAAACCTAAGGAGGGAGATGAGGAATGAAATCACCAATCCTAGGATGCCATTAGTCGCATTCATCGCGGCACTGTGGTTGAACAAGGCTCTAAACTCGACAAATCCAAATAAATAGCCAG